ATACACACACACAATGGAATATTATGCAGCCATCAAAAAAAAACCCCAAATCTTGCCATTTGCAATGACATGGATGGAATTAAAGGGTATTATGCTAAGTGAAATAAGTCAATCAGAGAAAGACAAGTATCATATGATCTTACTGATATGAGGAATTTGAGAAACAAGACAGAGGATCATAGGGGAAAGGAGGAAAAAAATGAAACAAGATGAAACCAGAGAGGGAGACAAACCATAAGAAACTCTTAATCTCAGGAAACAAACAGGGTTGCTGGAGTGGTGGGGGGTGGGAGGGATGGGGGGCTGGGTGATGGACACTGGGGAGGGTATGTGCTATGGTGAGCACTGTGAATTCTGTAAGACTGATAAATCACAGACCTGTACTTCTGAAACAAATAATACATTATATGTTAAAAAGAAGAAGAAGAAGATAGTAGGAAGGGAAAAATGAAGGGGGGGAATCGGAGGGGGAGACGAACCATGAGAGACTATGGACTCTGAGAAACAGAGAGGAGGGGATGGGGGGATGGTTAGCCCAGTGATGGGTATTAAGGAGGGCACGTACTGCATGGAGCACTGGGTGTTATACGCAAACAATGAATCATGGAACACTACATCAAAAACTAATGATGTAATGTATGGTGACTAACATAATATAATAAAATTAATAAAAAATAGAGATACTATTTCATCATGTTTCAGTTTATATGATACAACCTGAAACAAAAGTTTCATGAAAGAAACTTACCCTTCCTACATGATTCTATGGTACATCAATATTTTCTATTCTTATCTCAACTTGATTTCAGTACCTTCTGCAGTTTGACCCACATTTAAAAGCACTGCTTCAATACCTTTCCATTGCTCACAGAATAAGATCCATTCTCCTTACCATGGCCTATAAAGCCCTACATAATATGGCTCCTGCCTACCTCTTTGACCTCATATCCTACTCCTCTCACTCTCAGCTCACTATGCTCCAGCCACAGTGGCCTTCCTACAGTTCCTAAGTATACCATTTACATTTCTCCCCAGGGCCTTCCCACATGTTGTGTCCTCTGTGTGAAACACTTTTGCCTCTACTCATCGGCTAACTCCCACTCCTTCACATTCAGCTTAAATATCAGGCCTTGCCTGACCCCTCAGACTTAATTGCCCCCACCCGTTACTCTCCCTCTCATATCACCCTGTTCTATCTCTTTATATAGCCTTATCACAATTTGTAATTATGTGTGTGTTTATGTGTTATAATTATGTGTTTGTTCACTTCCCGTCCTTTCCAGCACCAGACCATAAACTCATGGTCTTGTTCACATCTGTCTTATTCACTGCTGCATAGCTAGTGCCTCACACGGCGCCTGGCCCATGGTATGTGCTCAAAAAGACATTCATCAAATGAGCAGAGATCGGAAGAACAAACGAAGTGGAACTGGGGAAATGTGGAGTTTCACACAGAGGCAACAGCATATGCAAAGACTCAGAGGCTAAAGAGACTAAGGAATGGTCTAAGACTTTCAACTTAGACTCAAGAATGAAGCCTGGAGAGGCTGCCAGCATCAAATAAATCATCAAGGGTGCAGCTTAATCTTCCTTGTTGAAGAAGGTAGGTTTCCTTTTGAGCCCGTGGGGACTCATTGAAGGGTTCTAAATATGAGAGGGATATGAGTTGATTTACCTTTTGAAAAAATCACACCACCTACAATGGAGAGAAGGGATTCCAGGGAGTAAGACTGAAACAGGGAGGCTGTGACAGTATACCAGTTTAGATGTGGTGCTGGCCTATACTAGGTTCATGTCAGCAGAAATGAAGAGACTGCATAAATAAATATGGGAGATATTTGAGAAGTAAACACGACAAGATTTGGTGATTGCATGGGGGTGGAGGAGAGAGAAGAGTCGGGGTATAACTCAGGTTTCTGCTTTGGGGTCATTCACAAAAGTAATGTACAAAGAAGGACAAACAGGTTGGGAGGAGGATGCCTTGAGGTGGTAAAAAACTGAGGTTTTAGGTGCTTCTGGAGTGCTCAGGTAGAGCTGTCTAATAACCAGTTGAATGCATGGGTCAGGAGAAATATCTGGACTTGAGGTATCAATATGGGAGTCATCAGCAAAGAGATGATAATTGAAGCCATGGGAGCGAATGTAATAATTGAAGGAAAGAGCATAGAAAGAGGAGAGAGCTCAGGCCAAATCCCTAAGGAGCACTGCCGTTTAAGGGTTAGGCAAAGAGGAGCCTGGAAAGTAACGAGGAATTTAAACAAGGTGATAGCTGGGTATTTACCTCAAAGACACAGTTGTAGTGAAAAGAAGGGCCATATGCACCCCAATGTTCATAGCAGCAATGTCCACAATAGCCAAACTGTGAAAAGAGCCGAGATGCCCTTCAACAGATGAATGGATAAAGAAGATGTGGTCCATATATACGATGGAATATTACTCAGCCATCAGAAAGGATGAATACCCAACTTTTACATCAACATGGTTGGGACTGGAGGAGATTATGCTAAGTGAAGTAAGTCAAGCAGAGAAAATCAATTATCATATGGTTTCACTTATTTGTAGAACATAAGGAATAGCATGGAGGACATTAGGAGAAGGAAGGGGAAAAGGAAGGTGGGGAAATCAGAGGGAGAGATGAACCATGAGAGACTATGGACTCTGAGAAACAAATTGAGGGTGTTAGAGGGGAGGGGGGTAGGAGGATGGGTTAGCCTGGTGATGGGTATTAAGGAGGGCGTATACTGCATGGAGCACTGGGTGTTATACGAGAACAATGAATCGTGGATCACTACATCAAAAACTAATGATGTATTGTATGGTGACTAACATAACAGAATAAGATAAAATTTAAAAAATAAATAAAGCAGTAGAAGAAAAAATGCGAGTGTGGTGTCATGAAAGTGGGTTAAGGAGGAGGGAGTGGTCACAAGTGCCAGATACTACCAAGAAGTCAAGTCAATAACCTCTGAAAAGATTCTATTATATTTTGTGAGCTAGGCCATGGCAGACCTTGATGAGAGAGCAGTATTAGGCAAGTAGTGGAGGCAGATTGGAGTGGGTTGAAAGATAAATGAGAAGTGGGAAAATGAAGAGAGTTAAGTGTAGGCAACTCTTCTGAGAAGCTTACAGAGAGGAGAAGAGAAGGTGGTGGTTGGAGAGGGAGGCTTTTCAGCAATTGTTTACTTGTTTTCAGATGGAAGAGACCAACCTGAATATGTTTAGATGATGATGGGAAGGGGCAAGGACTCTGTAGGTTTGGTAGCAAGAAGTCCAGAACTTCCTTTCAGTGACTTCTGTTTACTCTGTGAAGTAGGACCTGGTCGGGTCATCTGCTGAGGCTTGGGGGCAGATGGAAAAGTTGGGGGTTTGAGGAGAAGGGAGGTTTGAAAGGGCCGCTGTGGAGCATGGGGGAAAGAGCAGCCGAGGGACACAGTAAAGTTGTGGGTCAGTACTGAGGGCCTCATAGATGATGGGGACCATGAGTTTATAGTGGCACAAATCTGTGAGACTGAACGGTTTTCTCCAGCACTGTTTAGCTGCCTTTGCGCAGGCATGGAAAAAGCGGACAGTTGGACTGATCCAAGGTTGGGATGTTGCCAGGCGGATGCAACAATCCTGAGAACTGAGGCTTTTGGCAAGAGAGTGACGAAGTTAAGGACCATAAGGTCTGGTCTGAGCAGAGTGAAGTGTATCAAAGACAAGTCCTCTATAAGCCAAGCACTAGGGAGACTCTGGAACCTGTGGAAAGGTTTCTGGAAGAGACTGAAGGACGAGCAGACAGAGGAAGACCTGAGAGAGGGACAGAAAGGCACATTAGGGGGTTTGAGCCCAGAGACTTGCCTGTGTGGGACCACAGAGGGATGGGGAACGAAGGCCGAGGGGAATGTTTAAGGGGGAGGAGGGCCTTTGAGGGCGGTCGCAGCGAGAAGCGAGGCGGGTCCGAGGCAGGGGGCGTGGCCAAGCGCAAATCCCGGGCGAGGGGGCGGGGCCCGGGTAACTGGGTCCCAGCGCCGCTGTGGCTGCGGCTGCCTCAGCGACGGCTCCCGCCTCCCCACCCCCCTTCGCCGTCTCCTTCCTGCCCGCCGCCGCGGAGACCTAGGCCGAAGCTGTTACCCTGCCCCCGCGGCTGAAGCATCGTCCAGAGGGATTGGCTGAGGGCGAGCCCCGCAGCCCAAGCGCGCGACGCACACGCGCGCCCCCCGCCAGCGCCATCCTCTCCTCCCTCCCTCCCCTGCCCTGCCCTCCCTTCCCCTCCCCTCCGCCCCCCAGCCTCCGCTGCGGCGGGAGGAAGAACCCTTTCCGACCAGTCAGAAGAGCCCAGATCGATTCCCATTCGGGGAGAAAGAGACCCCGCACACCGAACAGACCGTCCGCTCGCCCCGGGGCCACGGAAGTGGCTCGCCTCCTAAGAGGGAGCCCGCGCCGAGCGCAGCCCCCCGACCCTCACCCAGCCGCTGCCGCATAGACAGCGCTCCTCAGCGGGCCCCCGGCCCCGCCGAGCCCAATCCCCGCGCAGGGCCCGGGCTGGCGATGCCTGGCACGGCAGCGGCGGTGGCTGCGGCTGCTGCTGGTACTGCCACTGCTGCCACGGCTGCTGGCCCGGGCCCGGGCCGGGGGCTTGAATCTCCGCAGTGGGGCTGAGCCCGCAGCCCCGCCCCCCGAGCCTGAGGCCGCTGCTCTGCCGGGCGCCGGGCCTCCTCCGCCCGCGCCTCCGCCCCAGGAGCTGGAGCCAAGCGGGGAGCCCGGGCCCCGCGCCCAGGCCCGGACCATGCATGGCCACCGAGCCCCGGGGGGCGCCGGGCCTTCCGAGCCCGAACACCCAACCACGAACGCCTCCGGCGCCGCTCCACCGGTCAGTGCCGACACGGACCCTGGGGCCTCCGAGCCGGGACTGCCGGTACTTAGGGGCTCAAGCTCCGCTCTCGGCGGCCCCCTGGATCCCCAGTTTGCCGGACCCTCGGACGCCAGCCTGGGCGCTGCTCCAGGCCCCCGGGTCTTACCCTGCGGCCCCAGTCCACAGCACCACCGGGCCCTGCGCTTCTCCTACCACCTGGAGGGCTCTCAGCCCCGGCCTGGTGAGTGATCCAGAGAGCATGGGAGCCTGGGCCCCGGGCCTGGTACTGGGAGCGGGTTCTTGTTCTCGGGCCCTCTAAGCCCCACCTCGGAGCCGGCCCGCTCACCCTGGCCCTTCGAGTCTTCTCAACCCCCACCCCCTTCCCTCGCTCCTCTTCCGTCCAGTCCTTTCAACCTCTGTCCGCGGTCTCCTCTCTCTGTCCCCTTGCCCCCTCAACCCTTCCCACCGCCTTCTTGTCTATCTGCTGAGACTAATGGGAGAAGGAGCACTCCAAGAAAAACGGTCAGAATTGCAAAGCAGTAAGGGGAATTTGGTTGGGGGAACGGAGTTTGGGAGAATAGGAGAAAAGGAGTCTCCCATTTGCCAAGCGCCTACATTGTGCCAGGCACTGGGCTGGGTGCTTTGTATGGGCTCTCATATCATCTTCAGGAGCTTCCTGTGAAGTAGGTATCATTAGCCCCATTTTGTAGGGTAGGAAACTGAAGCCCAGAGAAGTTAAGTAACTTGCCCAACATCCCACAGCTAGAATGGAGCCAGGATTCAAAACCAGATGCATTTGAGTCCAAAGTCTGTGGTCTTTCTCTTTCCCCAAACTGAGGTTGGAGACCATGAAAGTAATGCCAAGCCTTCTGCTTATGTGATTTTCTCCTGTACTGTTCAGCAGCTCTGGAGTATGAGTGGAAAAAAAAAGAGAGAGAGATGGTGGATTGATCCAGATTGGGGTTTTGCCAAGGTGTGTGTGGCGGGAGGACCAGGGAAGGAGGGAGTAGAAGGTGCTGATGAGCGAGATAGGTGGAGGAGGTGGGCCTTGGGGGTCAAGCTGGAGGGGCGGGCTGGAAGGGCTGATAAGTAGGGAGACAGCAGAAGGGGTGGGGGGCAAAGTCAGCTGTAGCAGAGCTGTAGAGCTGCAGGGCTGCAAGGATGGTTGTAAAGAGAAATCAGGATGCTCGAACTTGGATTCGCAGAGGTGGAGCAGCTCTGGGTCAGGCTGGGGCCACAGACTACTGCCTGGAGAGGCATTTGCCCTGCACAGACCTGAGTGTCTGAGGAGTCCAGCAGGGCCACCCCCATCTGGGGACATCCCCATGTGGACCTGAACCCAGGAGCCACAGAGAAAGAGCAGTGTATTTCTGGTCTGCCTTCCACTGGAACACTGACAGAGCTGTTGAGCGCCTGGGACCCCCCCCCCCCCCAGGGCTCACATCCCCAGCCTCCATAGGTCTCTGGGACTGTGGCCCAGCACAGTTAGCAGTAGTGAAACAAAGCACTGGCAAGATGTGCCCCTTACTGCTGTTGTGACCTTGGGCTAGTCATGGAACCTCTGGGAGTTTCCAGGGGCTCCTTCATTGTGGGCTGGAGATATCCAGCTGACAAGAGGCCTTTAACGCCCTGCCCTGCGTTCGCTCCTGCTAGCTTCCCAAACACCCCTTGACAGACACTGTGTGGAGCAGGCTACTTGGCTGCCCCTACTACGGCACCTTCTTTCAAATCCCAAAACAAGCCACAAGGACTCCCACCTCAGGGTCTTTGCGTCTGCTTTTCCCTCTGCCTGGCAGCTCTTCCCCCTGCTCTCCACCTGGCTTGTTCTTCATCTTTCAGGTCTCAGCTCAGATGTCACCTCCTCCAGAGACCCTCCCTGACCACTTTGGGGGGTGGTGCACTTGTGAGTCTCCATCACAGCTTCCGTCCTTGCCCTTCGTACAGTCTGAAATTATCTTATTGTATGTGTCCACTTGTTTATGGGCCATCTTCCTCCACTAGAAGGTGAACTCTGTGAGGGCAAGGGGATTGTATCTGTTTTGTTCACTGTTGTATCCCCAGTGAGTAGGGCTGTGCCTAGCACACAGGAGGTGCTCAATAAATCCTCGTTGAACAAATGCCCGAACAGATATGAAGGGAGCACATAGTAGGCCCTCAGGAACTATTGTCTAAAAGAAGGACAACGGAATTCCTGGCCTCCAGATGCTCTTGGTCTGAGAGTCAGTAGCTGGGCCGCGTCTCGACCCCTGGTCTCTTAGCCTCTGATTGCTGCTGCTACCGCTGCCGCCCCCATGGCCGTGATTCGGAGTTGCTGTCCCACATCCCACTCTCCCAGTCCTTACACATTACCAGTCACAATACCCAGCCTGAACTCCCCTCCTCCCCAAAAAAAGCAAAACAAAGTTTCCAGGATCCTTTTTGCCAGTCAAATCCCTGTGTCTGTAATTGGTGGCTGTCTATATATGTATATACTCCAAGATGGGGATTAAGAATAAGAAGAGTGTTAGGGAAAGACCTGGCTTCCCAACCAACCATTCCTACGTGACTCACCGTGTGACCCTGGGTGAGTGACTTCCCTTCTCTAAGCCTCGATTTCCCCATCTATAGAATGCCTCGAGAAGTCTATGAGACACTGGTGAGAAACCTGCAGAATAAAATGAAATTTTTTAAAAATAAGGGAAAAACCTTCCGAAGAGGAGGTGGAGGAATTACTCAGGCCCTGGCAAAGCAGGCGCTGGGCCATGTGATTCACAGCAGCATGGGGTGTGAGAGGCCCGCCTCCCCCACTGCCCAGCCGGCCCAAGGGTAGGCACAAGTGACTTGCTTCTCTCTCCACAGGACTCGCCTATAATTGGCCCAAAGAGGGCAGGGTTGGTGGTTGTAGGGTGTGTGTGTGTGTGTGTGTGTGTGTGTGTGTGAGAGAGAGACAGAGACAGAGACAGAAAGAGGGAGAGAGAGAAAGAGAGTCCTCTCAATTAAAGGGTTGAACATTTTAGTCCACATGTTAAGATTTCTGTGTGCCTGCCGACTTCCTCCCTCAGACTGCTGAGGCTTTTATTGAATCACCACCCGTAGGGACCAGTGACCCATCCTGGTGGGGGGGGTGCTCTTAAAAATAATACAGTTGATCCTTGAACAATGGGGGAGTTAGGGTTATGAGCCCCCATGCCCCTACTTGCACAGTCAAAAAATCTGTGTATAACTTTTGACTCCCCCAAAACATAACTACTAATAGCCTACTTTTGACCGGAATCCTTACCAATAACATAAACAGTCAAGTAACAAATCATTTTGTATATGTATTATATACTTTATTCTTAAAGTAAGCCAGAGAAAAGAAAGAAAGTGTTATTAAGAAATCATAAGGAAGAGAAGGGGTGCCTGGGTAGGCTCAGTCAGTTAAGCGTCTAACTCTTAATTTCAACCCAGGTCATGATATCAGGGTGGTGAGATCGAGCCCCACACTGGGCTCTGTGCTCAGCAGAGTCTGCTTGGGATTTTCTCTCTCCCTCTGCCCCTCCCCCCACTTGCACACGCACTCTCCCTCTCTCTCTGTCTAAAATAAATAAATAAATCTTAAAAAAAGGAAAGAAAATCATAAGGAAGAGGAAATATATTTATAGTACTATACTATATTTATTGAAAAAATCCATATATAAGTGGACCTGTGCAGTTCATACCGTGTTGTTCAAGGGTCCACTGTAGTTAAATCTTATCCATGTGAAAAACCTTCAATTTCTTCAAAGTGCTTTCTCTTTGAGTTACCCTGATTTCTGGTACGGGGAGGGGGCAATTGTTTTTATACCCATTTTCCAGGTTAATAAAACCTGGAAAGAGATGCCAGAGAGAGCTTTGAGAGAGTTGGAAAGGAGTTCCGAGCCTAGGTTTGCTCATACAGATTTGAGGGAAACCCTACCCTATTCCTCAGTTTTGAGACCTAGAATATCCTTCTGGATGCTGGGTGCGGAGTAGCTTGGGACCTGTCTCAGTCAAAATAGTTGCACCTGATGTAAGAGTCTTTTCATGGGTAGTGGGAGAACTGAGCCAATTGAGGGGGGCAGCAATAGGGCTGGCTCCCTCTAATTTGGAGCCTAGGGCATCATCAGAGACTCCAAGAGTTAGAATGGGAGCTGGAAAGGGCCCTGGACACCATCTGGTTCTGGGTTTCCCAAACTGGGTGAACATCAGAATCCCCTGATGACTTTGAAAAAATAAATGTTATTCCCAGACTCCACCTCAGAGCTCCAGAATCTTGGGGTTGCAATCTAGGAATATATTTTTAACGCTTCCCAGGTGATTCTGATACACAGCCTAGAGTGGGAACTGATTTTTAGTTGGGGTAGTAGAGGCTCAGAGAGGCAATTTATTCATGGTCCTACAGTGAATCAGCATGATTAGGGCCAGAAGGATGCATTGGCCTCCCCTCTGAGGCCCTCTCCTCAGGACCCTATGTGGGCCTACCTCCCTGCCTCCCAACCCCAAAGGAAGGCAGGGGATCTAAGCTAAAGGGAGTGAGTCAACCCCTCACTCATATACGCACAAACACCGGCTGCCTTAGTTTACCATCTATACCTAGCTCTAGTGAATGGCTGCCATTTGGCACTTCACGTTGGAAAGCAATTGTAGTTCTGGGACTCTAGGCAGGGGAAACTGTAGCATCAGCAGCACCCACCACAGGGCCTGGCCCAAAGCAAGGGCTCTAAAAGGTGTCAGCAGGGTTTGTAGAACGAGGAGGAACATGGAGGGCAGTTCAGGTAAGAATTTCAGTGGGAGGGGCGCCTGGGTGGCTCAGTTGGTTAAGCGACTGCCTTCAGCTCAGGTCATGATCCTGGAGTCCTGGGATGGGGTCCCGCATCGGACTCCCCGCTCGGTGGGGAGTCTGCTTCTCCCTCTGGCCCTCCCCCCTCTCATGCTCTCTCTGTCTCATTCTTTCTCTCTCAAATAAATAAATAAAATCTTAAAAAAAAAAAAAAAAAGAATTTCAGTGGGAGCAAGGGCACTGAGGCTTGAGGCATGCTGGGAACTGGGAGTGGTATTGAGAGGCCTAAGGGATAAGGCTAGGAAAGGAACTTTATCCTGAGGGCAAAGGGGAACTATGGAAGGGTTTATTAAGCAGGGGAATGATGTGTTCAGAGGTGGGTGTTTGGGAGATCCCCATAGCTACATGTGGAGAGTGGATGGTAGGGATGCAAGAATGGGAACAGGGAGACAGGCAGGTGGGGGTCATAGTCATCCCAGTGATGGGTGATCATAGCTTGGGTTAGAGTGATGGCAATAGGAAGGACAATAAGATCTGAGAGATAT